TTATCTCCAAATACCCTCTTTGCTTCATCTGCAAGTACGTCAGTTTTCATGATCAACCAGCTTTTTGACCCATTCACCAAGTAGCCAAATTTACGTCCCTCTTCGCAAAGGTTTTGATACCAGTCATGTAAGGCTTGGATCTTCCCCCCTCCAGCAGAATCATCAGCTAGCCACACCTGTTTGATATTAGGCATCTTGCACCTCAAAGTCTGTATCATCAGAGTAGTGTTTAAAGAATACCATGGCATGGCAAGGGGGTCGCCCTGCGTCGTTCCCTCTTGAGATAGGAGCTCACCTCCACCACATACAAAGAGCCTTGAAGGGCTTCTGTAAGTATTGATCAAATACAGGGAAATTTCTTTACAACTTATTTGAATGTTATGCAATGCTACAGACCTGTTCATTCGGTTAAAAGCATTGCTAGCGTCTACCAGTAAAACACCATCGGTCTCTCCCTCTGCAAAAATGTCACTCATGGCATGAATCGCTGCCTCCGATCCACCGCTGTGGCCAGCGCAAACCTGTAGAGGGCCTACTGCYTCTTTYATCTCTTCTTTGAGGAATCCAGCGATGGCCTTGCCAACTATTCTCCTCAAAACTTCGCCAACAKCAATTGGTKTTATACCGGGGTTCTTATCCAAAGGGATAAGGCGGCATGAAGTATAAGCTTCKAAAAGAGATGGATGGTAGGATTTCGTCAGAAGGCACCTGGTAAAGATGGCAAACTCRTCTCTCAAGGCTTTCCCCTCTTTTTTGAAATTTTTGGAGCAGAGAATTCTTCTATACAGTTCCGCATCCATTCCTGAAGGTCCGGCAGATCCCTTCGTTCTCATTGCGGCATCGAAGATCATTTTTTCATCCATCAAGTCAAATATACCGGGTGGWATAATGTCAATAGGACCGTTCAACAGACTTTCAGGTTGGACTTCCGCTGCTACAGGATGCTTGTCTTTCAAGGCTTCTATTACTTCCGGTGTGATATCCAACAAACCTGAGGAACTCTCAGCGTCGAGGAGTTTTATGGCCGCCGATAGTTTTCCTTGCATGACCAGCTTTGCAAATGACTTGGAAACATCTTCGACTGACTTGTTCTTTTTGCCACTTTTAAATTTTCCTTGAATAAATTTAACTTCTTTTAATAGTAGTTGTATGTCTCCTTGTCTCCATTGGCTTAGTTCGATGGCTGCACTGTGCTCCTTGCTTTTGGACGTCGGAGAGGGTTTTTGCAAAATCAATGTGGGAAGCACCATAAAGGACTTTAGAGCGATTGAATTCATATTTGAATTAGTGTTGAATTGTCTCATCCACCATGTGAGCTCTTCTATGAATGCCTTTCCAGCCTTACCCGATGGTACGTTAAATATATTTCTTCTGAATTTCATCGTAAATATCGTTGATCGTAGCGCAAAACTGCTCGTGGCTGAGGCTACCCCATTGTTTAGCTCCACACGCGGAGGGAAAAACTTCGCAGGAAGGTAAATTTGGTTGTATTTTTCTTGTACTAATTTCCTCATTGACCAGGGAATCCTCTGGGTATTGCGATATGCTGTTATTATGCAAAGACAGTGCTGGTCTTGGATGAGTGGTTGCATATTCGCCGTCATTAATTTCAAGCTGGTTGATGTTTTCCTCTCTGTTTTGTGTAGAGAAAATGCTATCTTGAATCTTTTCCAGCCTCGATGCTTGATCCCTCAAATTTTGCCCGGTAAAACCAAGGTATCCATAGCCCATATCGTCCCATAGTTCCTTCATAATCTGTATATAGCCTTTCTTCCTGCCATTTTGTTTAGTCGGGCAATCCTTCAGAAGTGATTCTTGTGCTTTTCTCTTGCATTCTAGAACAGCTCTATTCATGTCCTCAGTCCAGTTTCGCTTTCCTTTGCGGGACATGATGTTTATATACAAGTAGAGGCTTCTTTAAAGATAGATTACGAAGTTTCAACTCATAAAAATAAAAAAGTAAAGAGAGAGCATGGCAGCGCGTCTTGACTCGACGACGCCATGAATCTTCAGTATTTAATGGTCTAAGCAGTAATAAATTTCGTTTTATATTCATTATGCCAGAGAAAGTTCTATTTCTACGCTAATCGATTGCCTATTGTAAAGGAAGCGATTTATAAGATAGTTATTGTCTATTTTAATTGACTT